GTGCTTCACTGTTATCCATAGTTGGACAACAGAATAAAGTCCCATATTTTTAAATCTATGAGCATGTACAAACCTTCGTGGAAATACTTTGGCTTTCCTTGGAAGCTGGAGTTTTTGAAGAAGTGTAATTTATTCTAGAGGTATAGAACAAACAGTAAGAAACGTGCATTCTGCAATCGTGGATTGTTCTGTGTGGCAGGGCTGTCTGAAGGCTTGCAGTGCAACCTCTTGCTTCAGGCAGGGTCATCAAGGAGATGGGCTCAGATCACTCAGGGCTTTATTCAGCTGGGGCTTGCCAAGCTCCAGGGACAGGGAGTGCAGCTGTTTTCACAGCTCTCCACATCTGCCTGTCCTTGTGGGGAAGGTCTGAACCAGTTGGGATTTCCTTTTGGAAGCCACTGGTGGTGTCTTCTTCATACTCTTTTTCTTGTTAATTTAAATCCAGAAGTCAGGGAACACTGCTCATGTCTTCCACAGCCTCCCATTCCTTTTCCTGCATGTCCACCATCTCACCAAGAGGATGAGAGGAAAGTGAGGTTGATAATAAATGAGTGGGGAGAAGAGATGCAGTGCCTTACCTGTCAGCTGGCCATCAGCTGTGATTATTCATTATAAATACGCTTAAGTGATAAATGGAGTGTAAAATTATTGTGGATTTTTCTAGAAGTTGTCAAAAATAGGGGGAAAGAAAACATAGAATTCCTTTTCAGTCAACAGAATGTCCTGTAAGAAAATGGTTATTTTGGTATTTTTCATGGAATTTAGTTTAGCATACTGGTCTTGCAAATTATAATTTAAGAGTTAGGTTTTGTTTTGTACTCTTCATATTCTTTACACTGTTTTCTTTTCTCTTCTTCCATGGTCTCCAACTTTTTTTCATTTGCTGTCCCTGAAAGATAGGGAGGAGAAAAACAATGAGTTTTTTTAAAAATCTCAGGGAATAAATGCCCTACTTCTCCTCTTCTGGTATCCTTCTTTTAAGAGAAGAAAATTTCAGGGGAAAAAAAAAAATTCAGTGTTCTATTGTTTCATATAATCAGGTTCAACTTTAAAATCCTGTCAAAACATTATAATTTAACATTAGCATGTAACTTGATTTATATAGCAAGTAAGACAATTGTGCCTGCTCTGAAGAGCTTGCAGCCTGTCAGGAGACAAGACAAGACACTAGGGGGGATTACACCATGAAGGAGAATAAATGAGATGAGTGACAGAAAAAGGAATACAAAAAACATCTTCAGGGTTTTGGTGAATGGAGCAACAGACATTATGTTAACTCTTATGCTTTATTTTCACTTAAAAAAATTCCTAATGTTTTTTAACTTAAAAAAAAACTCCTTTGATAAAATTTTGCAAAACATATAAATGGTTTTAGAGCCATTGTTGTATTTCCACAAGTACAGAATCATTTCATACCTGTGAGCTGGTAGCCAGTCAGCTGAAAATGAAGTTCCTAAACACAGAGCTGTGATTTTGTGTGCTGGGAAAAAAAATGTCCCCTTGGCTCTGGATCACAGCTTAACTCTGCAGAAAAGGGCTTTCAGTGGAGGATCACAGGAGAGTTCATAGAAAGAGTGGTTTAAAAGTGAATGTGCTTCATGAAAAATCCTCTTGTAAGCAAGATCTTGGAAGATTATTTTGGGCAAGGATGAAGGTGTGATTTGAAATTGAAAGAAGTTGCAGTGCATAAATTATCAGGAAAGAGGTTCTGGGTATGTTTGTGGAAGATGGACCAGAAGAAGGATTGAGAAAGAAATAAAGTTTTGGCACAGAATTGAGGACACAGCCTTGTGCTCTGGCACTGCCCACAGTGGGCACCAGTAATATTCCTCTATATTCTGATATTCCCCATGAATTATCCCCCCTCAGCTGCCCCAGGCTGACATTTCCCCTTCCCTTCTTCAGCTGCTGCATCACCAGTGCATGAATCCTGGGTTCTCTTTATGGAGCCAGCCTTGAAGAATTCTGCTCTTCAAAGTGATGTCACCAGCTAGCTGGGAAATAATTGTGTATTAGGCAATAATACACCAGCTAATGAAATGATTTTTACCTTGTTGTCAACATAAAAATCGCAGCCTTTGATCTGCTCCATGTTTTACCATATGGCCTACTAAAGAAAAACAACAATAAAACTTCTCTCTGCTGCTTTGTTTGTACAAAAAGTCCACACATAACAAGAGAGGTAGTTTGGAACATGAAATGACTGCACAAAATGTTTCTTTTGGTGGCTGAAAGATGCTCCTGCCTGCATGCATTCGATTAATAATGAATTTTGGAAATGGAAATGTACTACGGTTGTTTGAGATTTTATTGGTGCTTTCAGAGGTACAGACTTGTGAGTGGCTTGGGAAATACCCATTTCTGAGAACTGCCTGTCTTGTCTCACATTCCTGAAATGCTCCTAGAGCTTGGGAAAAAAATGTAGCTACTTCTTATATCTAAAAATAAGATGTCATGTAATAGTTGAGACATGCATTTCCCAGATTTCAGAATTAGCTAAAACTGTTTAGTTAATAAGGTCACTGTGATATGGGAATAACTTTTGGGATACAATGAAAGATGCAGTATGTTCTAGAGCAACAGCAAAAAATGTGTATTTATCAGACAAGACCGGAGATCTTTGCTGGTATTTTGGGGGCTGGCAGGTGCTCCTGCACCGTGTGGTGTCAGTATGTGAGTGCTTCATGGATAGAGTTCCAGAACCTTCCCTGGGTCTGCAGAGCTGTCTGTGGGTTTTGATCTTGGCTCTTCCACTGGGCTGTTGGTGGGAATAGTGGGATTTAGGAATTAGCATGATGGGCTGAGGCTGTGTGTGGAGAGAAATGTGGGAGAGTGCATGGAAGCTGATCTTTTAATATCTGTGTTTTAATACAAATCATTCAGAACTAGAAATTTAATGGGCTGTAAGAATCAGCATCCTGCTATGAAAATTTCCCTCATTCTTTGGTTTTTTTTCAGTTGAAAAAATAAAAATTTTATCTTCTTTCACAGCTGTTTTTTGATCAGAATGTCTTCTTTAGGAGGGAGTTTTGGAATGATGCTGAGCTCATTCAGTGGTGCTGTGGAAGCAGCTGAACACCTCTGTCCTTGATTCTCTGGCCACTGTTTCCTTTCCCTCTGTGCCCTCACGTGTCTGAGGCCACTGCTTAGGTCACAAGGTAGCTCTCCAGAAAATGCCAAGTCAGAAAGATTTTTTAATTCAGTCCCTGATAGGAAAAGGCAGGTGGGTGCCTCAGAAAGCAAAATAAGATTGGAAAACGTTAAAACAGTGGCTTTCTCTGGGGAAGAAAAAGAAAGCCAAGCCAAGCATGCTAGGAAATCTGTTGCCCATTGACAAATAAATAAATAGAATTGTTGTGGCAGAGACACTTGGGAATGGGGATGCCTGTGGACATTTTGGGACATTTTGGTTTGCATTGCTTGGCTGGCCAGCTCTGGATAGCTGTGAGGCTTCAGTCAACAAAGCATTACTTAAGGTGTTCTTAAATATAAACAGGGACATTTATTTAAGTTAAATATCTGTTAGGATGCTTTGCCAGCCCAGTTGCTGTTGGTCCTCCATTACTAGAAGTTGTGGTGTTTAATTCTTAGCAAGAGGAGATCAAAATCCTTGAATGACAAGGTGTAACTGGAGAAGATTGCATTATAAAAAGGGAAAATAAACATTAGCCACTTACCTGAATGTGTGTACACCAACACAGCTTATTTCAAACATTTAAAAAGAAATTACATAAATTTATTTCCCTTTGTTTTCTGTTTCCTGTAACTAAGGCTTGATAACATTTGAAACTTTAGTTCAATAATAATTATTAATGATTGTACAAGCACCCCGTGTTACCTCTTTAATTGTCTTTTGTATTTTTTTGCCCAGTTTATTCAAAAAAGCACAATAAATGGGAAAATTTTAATCTACCTTTTTTATAACATGTACAGCAACATTGAGGTAGATTTTCCTGATAGTGTTCTGCTTTTTCCATAGTCTGTTTTTGTGCTGTAGAAATCAGGCATGCCACCAGAACATAGGGACATACAGAAACGCTGTAGTGAGCCTTATTTGGATGGAAAGCGTTAAAACATTTTATACCCCAGAGAAGCAATATAATGTGTGTAACATTTCTTAGTATTTTTGCTAGTTTTCCTCATAGTCTTGTGGATGGGGTAGTATGAAGTTTATTTTAAGAAATCAGAAGTGTTAGAGTTGACCAGAAGTGAGCTCTCCATATCATTAAAATGAGCCGGTCTCCATCTCAATTTTTGCCATTTCGGTTAATTTTCCTTTGTAAATGCCTGCAATTTTTCTTAAAACCTTTACTGGCTCCTTTTATCTCATTAAGCACAATGCAGTTCTTACTAAAAGTTGAAGTAGTTTTCCTTCAGAAGCAAAATTGAATCTCAAGTCATGAAGTGGAGTTGGTGCAGGGATTTCAAAGGCTTGTATCTGATTTCCTTAGCTTCACGTGCTTTTTCCTGTTGCAGGATCAAACCCTGCCACTAAAGTGAGATTTTTTTCCTCTCCTGAAAGAAAACAGTGTTCAATTGAGTGCCATTTCTGCTCTGCGTGAGGCTCAGTTTGCTAACAGTGAGCGGAGTTTAGTTAACTTCATATTTTGGACAAGCTTGTAAATTTGTTCCCTTCTAATGCTGTGATCTTATCAAGGTTGTACTGTTTTCCTTTTCTTCTCCTCCACCCCCATCTTCTTTCTTTCCTTTTTTTGAAGTGCAGCCTTCTGATCAATGTGCACTTTTTTTTTTCCATTTCCCTAAATACATCATGAAAAAGGATGAGGTTTCCGCCTTAATTGCTTGTGCCTTTTATTCACATTCCTCTCCCAGCCAGAATTGTGAAAAGAGTGTTAGTAAAAGGCTGCACAATAGAGCTTTTCATTAGGCCTCAACAAGGCACACAAAGGAAGGCTTTTGGAAAGAGTGAATGCAGGACTTTAATTTGCAGGTGGAGAGCAGATAAAAGGTGCTGACGCCTCTATTATTCTCTTACTTAGGTGACCCCTACCCCGTTCAGCTGATCCCAACTACCATGGCAGCTGCTGCCGCAGCAACGCCGGGCTTAGGCCCTCTCCAACTGCAGGTAAGTCCCAGCTCAATGCAGGGGAGGCAAAGGTTAAGTAAATATGAAAACCAGTTTTCCTTTCCTGTGCAACACAGTGCAATTAACAGGGGTCTTCGGGCTGTTCTCTTCGCAAAGAATTTGCATCTTGAGCAGAAGAGTCATCAGATGATAACACGTTTTCCTCTCACCTTGCTGGAAGTTTTTGTTGCTTTTTTGTGTCCCTGTTGTCAAGTTAACTGCTTTTAGGTTTGTACTTTGAGTTTCCTCATAGCAGGACGTTTGCTTTTCTTGCTGGCGTGGTTTAACCCCAGACAACAGCTCAGTGCTACACAGCCACCACTCTGACTTCCCAAAAGTGGGCATTGGGAAACACAAGGTAAAACCTGGGGGCTGAGATAAGAACAGTTCCATAAATGATATCTAGTAAAATGCAATAGTAGTAATAGCAATGATTGTAATGGAAAAGAGAGAAGAATAAAACCCAGGAAAACAATTGCTCTTCACCTGCTGACCAGTGCCAGCCTGTTCCCAAGCAGTGGTTGACCCCATTTCATTGACTGAACATGATGTTCTCTGCTGTGGAATATTCCTTTGGCCACTTCAGGTCAGCTGTCCCAGCCTTGCTGCCTCCCAGTGCTCTTGTGCAGCTTCTCACAACCTGAGAAATCCTTGATATAGGGTAAGGACTGCTCAGCAACAGCCCAAACGTGGATGTGTTACCAAACGTTATTGTCATCCTAAATTCAAAGCACAGCACTGTACCAGCTGCTGAGAAGAAAGGCAGTGCTGTCCCAGCTGAAACCAGGACACTTTTCCATTAGATTGTTCTCCTGCAGGCTGTAAAATACCAAAATGCTGGGATGGATTGTCAGGCAGAAGAGCTCTGTCCTGACAAGCACTTTTAAACTGCTTAGAAGTCGTTAACATGATTATGTCCTTTCAGGCCATAAGCTCTTCAGAGCAATAACTGGCCCCTCCTACTGTGTTTTATGGTACCCAGAGCATTTTGGGCACTGCTGTAGGGCAGATAATTAGTGATTATTCTAATTTAACATGGACAATGAGAGAACAGGTGGAAAGATACTGAAGGGTTGGAGTTGTTTTCAGCTACAATAAAGAGTTGACCTGGTAGCCAGATGTATCTGATTGAGACTGTCAGTATTCTGAATTTTGGAGGCATTAGGCTGTCCATGGGTCTTAATGCTAGCAAGTCTGGATATTCCCAATCAGCCACACAGCCCTTGGAATTGAGCAAGTGTGGTGTCCATTGCCACAGTGTGAATTTTGGTACCTGTTGTGTATGTTCGGCTGATAGGAGGAGGCCAAGTAATATTTGGGACTGAGAGGAAATCAAGATCCAAATGGTCTCTGATTCTGCAAAGTCTGGATTACCATTCTGTCCTAGAAACATGAAAAGCCCCAAGCTCTGCACTGCAAGTGCATCTCCCTCTCATGGCTGTTTGGAGCAGCAGAGCTCTGTACCTGCTTGGGCAGGCTCTGCCTTTCTGGCTGGGCTCTGTGAAATGCATCCTCCAGCCCAGCTTGGCCCACACCACTGTGTGCGGAGCACACATCAGATATTCCAGTTGTTTGGCCAGCCTGCTGGAGCGTGGGACACAGTTCTGGGGAAGATTTTTTTTTTCTTTTGCTTTATTTTATTTTATTTTACCACAGCCAGCGGAAGTGAGCTGAGTTTCACAGAAATAGCTGCCAGTGTGTAAGCTGACACATTCCATGCACCACAGAGGTTAATACATTCATTCCTATTGTGCCTTTGTATGAAAAGCAACATTGTCTGTGTGGTAGTTCTGATTCTCTGAGTTACAAATACTGTGGGCGGCTCAGGAATCATGGGAGCCATAGAAGTCATCCCTCTGAAATGAATTTTGAGGTGTTTCAGTATTGATAAAGTGCTTTTAATAGCCAAACACACATGAGCAGACATATGGAAGCAAGAGGGAGGGAAAAAGGAAAAGCAAACATGGAGCTAGCTAGCAATGCAGAAACAGCACTCTGATTCTAATTCTTATCTCTTCAGTCATTCAAGCTGGTCCTAAAATAATGCCTCAGTGCTCCAGTGAGATGGTAGGATGGTTTCCTTTCATTTCAGGACCAGCTTTGGGCTGTATCTATGTGTGCTGTGGGCTGAAGTATCCTGGTTAAAACAGGCTCTATCACAATACCAGTTTTCTTGCTAAAAGGTGGGCTTTGTGCAAAAGTGACTGCAGTCATGAGGATCTTTGGATGAGTTTGGGTTATGGAAAAGTTGAGAACCTCAAAGGCCTCTTGTTTCTGTGCAGAGGACATTAAAATGAAAATATTGACCAAATTCACCTATGTTGTTTTGCTACATGTCTGGAGTTAGAGGGAGAGTTTGGCAGCCAGTCACTGGGAGAGGCTCAAATTCCTGACTTAGCAAACTCTCTTAAATGTTTCAGATCTGATCTCTAAGGGCATGTATATGCTAGAAATAAACTGAAGCTGATTGTTCTTCACATCTTACCAGTGATTTTTAGCTATCATTGCAGTCTATCTGATAGAAATTGGACATGCCTCTTAACTTCTAGTGCCATTTGAAAGAGTCAGGCTAGATTTGCTTCTGGAAGGGTTTTATCATACAGGATTCAAAACAGATGCCCACCTATGTTAACATGAGTGGAGCTCAGCTTAGTTGCTAGACTAGAAAGACTGTGCCTTCCAAACTCTGTTCAAATCCAGTTTAGCTCAATGGTGACTTTGTTGAGTCATAAAGAAAGATTCATGTTTGAATGTTTTTGCTCCAAACCCACCTTTAAGTGTCTTGGCAGTCTCTTTCAAGGAGGAACTCTTCTTACTTCAGACATTCCCCTGCTTAACTTATAATTCTGGTGTTCCTGCACACCCTGTGTCATCTGGTCATCAGGCAGTAAAAGGTCAGAAAAGTGGCATGTTCCCTCTTCCCTCTCTATCCTCCCTATCACTCATCTTTCAGACTCTGTGTACTTGAAGCAGGGGAGATCAAAGGACCTGACACAATGCTCAGTTTGTTGCTCCCAGCAAAATCCGATACACAGCGTTATCTCAGTGAAGACAAAGCCAAGGAATGTCTCTTGTTTGTTTATGGGACAATAAACACGGCTTTGTTATTTCACTAGAGAATTTTAAGTCGGGTCATGGCTTCAGCAGTGTACTGTGAGATCAACAGGAAGTGCTTTTTTTATCCCTCAAAATCGAGTTTTTGTTTTTGTAAATGAAATGCACACTGCATTTATAGAAGAAGAGCTAGCACCTGGGTGTTCCTGTGGCAAAGGAGCTCTGTCAGTGAAGATGCAGTCCCTCATTTTGAGGTCCCCTGTTGGCTTGCAGTGATGGATTTGGAATCCAAAGCCCCCGTTCCTCTCCCCACCTCTGAGTCCCCTCTGGGGTGTCCAGATTCTGATATTTGCCCTGTGGGATTGCCTTGATTCCCAGGATCCACAGAGAGAGCAATGGCTCAGTGAGGATGGAAGCTGACCCCCCTTGCATTGTCAGAGGCTGTAAAGGAAGCAGAGGGATGGGGCTGGAAAAGCTGGAACTGCCACAGTGCAAGCTTGAACCTGTCCTCTGATAAAGCTCTGTCTGTCAGCCCCCTGTATTCACTCATTCCCACTTTGAATGACAAAAATGCCATTTGGGGGGAAAAAAGTGGTTTCAGTTTTCCTTTGTTACTGAGAAAAGTCAGTCCTGAGCATCACTGTGGTGAAATCCCTCTGGGTAAGCACAGGGTTTCTTACATCAAATTTTCCCCTCATAAACATCACCTGGTCTTGTTCTTCAGGAGTGGTGCAGGATGGCAGCTATGTTTCAGATGAGAAAAAACTGAATATAAATTGTGACAGTGTTTTACTGAACAGGGCTAATGACTCAACAGTACTGCTGGATGCCTTGTATGATGTTTTCCTGTGTGCTTCAGCAGGCAGGGGAATTCAGTTCCCCCATCCTGGAGATCAGCACTGAAAGCTGTAAACAGAGATGTGGGGTAACAAGTTTTGCACAAACTAAACTGCAGGGTTTGTTCTGGTGCCAGTCATCGTGGGCATAGCTAAGTATGAAATAGATGTTACTGTAAATCTGAGCAAATTCTTTATAAAATTGCATCTGAAAGTTTCTTTTCTGATAAAAAGTTTTTTGTGAGTAGTTTCTGAGCATTAGGAAAGAGGGGAACTAATCACACAGCGTGAAAAGTGAGAGGAATCTGCACCATTGGGAGTGGGAATGGTTCAGATTTCCCAGATTGCTTGTTTGATAACCAGATAGTGACAACAACTGATTAATTGGCAGTGACACAAATGCTTTATATACCCATAACTCCATTGAGAGATAATGCTGGATGAATAATGACAGCTGCCTGTGCAGTCCTACTGTATGGACATTTTGTGTCCTGTCAAAACACCAGAGCAGTCTGATGTAATACAGACTTCCTGCAAACATCTGCTCTTGGAAAAAAAACACCCCAAAAAGTTGGGAGTGCCAGCACTCAAACTTTCTTCCCTCTTCATCTCAGTGTGAGGCAGGGCTTCATAATTATTTGTGCTTGTGTTCAGCATCATGTCCAAATCTGTCAGTGTGTGAACCAGGAGAAGCTGCCATCAGTGTCTGAGTGTGAAAGCACTTGAGCTGGGTCTGAGCTCTGGCCACCAGTCCTTAGGAGAGTCCTGGATTCTCTATTTCTATAAAGATGAGGACCACATTTAGACCTTAAACTGTCTGACCAAGTTTTTTAGTGTCTACTTCCTTATATTAAGAACACAGTTCAATTGATTTTTCTTACTACAGACCTGTTCTCTTAGTTGTGTGGTAAGATGCATACCAGGGACTGGATTCAAATGGAATTTTAAAAACTGGACCACAGTTTTGGAAATATTTGGGCCTCAAGCAGGCACTGATGTAAGAGATTCGATTATGACAAAAATTAAGCCTGTTTGGAGTTTGAGGGCTGTGCAGGATTGTTCACCCTGCTGTTATTTAGGTGACAGCTCAGTACAAATTTTCCTTTGGAA